TCAAGAGGAGGCACATTTGCTCCGTCAAAAGAAGGCACATTGCCCTTTCAAAAGAAGGCACATTTGCTCTTTCAAAAGAAGGCACATTTGCTCTTTCAAAAGAAGGCAGGTTTTCCTTTTCAGTAAAAAGTACATTTATCCGTTCACAGGAAGGTACATTTGTCCTTAAGCGTTAAATGTTTATTATTTCAAGAAACGGCAGCATATACATTTTTGACTTAGTATATATCTCAATTAGACTTTCAAGAGACGGGAATACATACATTTCAATTAAAGGTCATCATATTTTTCCTTTCCATAGACGATGTAATTTAATCCTTCGATAGCAGCAAAATAATGCCAGGGAAAATGGATGAAACGGTCCTGATGAGGCCACACTCAGCCAGACATAGCGACGTGCATGCACGTGTGTGTGTGTTGTGTGGCTGCTTGTACTAGTCCGGACTCATGCCGATTTATAGTGCTAGCTCACTGAGATACCATGCCGCAGTTTAACATGAATACCCCACTCAGACACAGTATACTGACTCCGAGCTGACCAGTCCTTATTTCAGCCCCTTAATGCCGAGCGCCAGACAGGGTAACAACAAGTACCATCTTTTAACGTCTTTTGGTATGACGCGGTCGGGAATCGAACCCCGGACATTCCGCTCTTCCGTTAGTATAAGAAAGTTACATTGATTTGAACAGATTTCAACAGCAGTGATATTGATGAAAAGGGTTCTGATGAAAACATTGTAGTATTCTCTCATAGGTGGCTTTAAACAAGAATGTATATTCGCTCTTTTGTTGAAAGGATGCGACATTTCCATAATCATAAAACATCTCTTCTAAAATCAATGTCCATTATCCGATTTCGACTGTATTATATTATATTGGTTTGTTTGTTTGTTGTTTAACGCCGCACTCAGCAATAATCCAGCTATATGACAGCGGCCAACTATATTATAAGCCTTGGTTAATGCATCACTATCAAATAGTGATGATACCATATGTTCGCGAAAAGGTGAGCATATCCTGCCCCACCTGTGGCACACGTCGCAAACACATGCAAAGGCAAATAAAGTGTTCATCTGAAAAAAATGCATCGGACATAATTTTGGCACTGATGCGTCAAATTTGGAAATGTCGTCCACCATAACATTTTGTGAAAGCTTTGCTGAGGGCTTGAATGTTGTAACCTTGATCACACAACTTCTGAGCAAGCGTTGTGTATCCCTCGTGGTGGAAAGAGTATGCTCGATTGTACCTCATAAGTTGTTAATACCATGTTGCAGTTTAGCGTGAATACCCCACTCAGACACAGTAAACTGACTCCGAGCCGACATGTCCCTGTTTTAGCCCCTTAATGCCGAGCTCCAGACAGGGTAACAATAAGTACCATTTTTTAACGTCGTTATGTATGACGCGGCCGGGTATCGAACCTCGGACCTGCCGCTCTTCGTCTACAACTAGACCACGGAGGCGGTCTGTACCCATGCGGGATTTAGGCGTGACGAGTGAACGCGTTACCCACTAGGCTACCCCACCGCCCATGTAAAGTAAGATATATTGAACTTATTATTGAGTGTTCTATATAAATACTATAACGATTGGGGCCCGGAAGCCCCTCGGTGCATGATATAAGTTAGATTTAGTTCAAATTATTAAGTATAAAGGCTAAAAACTGGCTTAGACTATGCTCCATGTGCTCCGGTGAAATCACAATTTTTTCTGTCCTGCGAGAAAATGGTAGCTACCTACCAACATTCGGTTTGGCATGGAAAGCGCTTACCCCATGTGTATGTTGATTCCCGTATTGTTGTCACCAGATGCGTATTTAAGAAATTAGCAACTGTCTAGATCTTAACTACTTCCGGGAAACGTGACTCCAAACACATGTGGCTAATTACCGAACTGTTGTGTCTGACATGCTGAACTGTCGCTCCAAGCTAAACGACATAACTCGAAACGTAATTGGTTGTTTTCTCAACATACGCAATTGTTGCAAAGTTCCACAATTTTGAAAGCAGTTGATCGCCTGTGGGGATAGCCTCAATCGTTTATCTTATGTTGATAATTTTGTTAATCTCATTTTGTGGATGTAGACGAGAGCTACACAGCAGTGTTTGTTTGTTTGTTGTATAACGTCATACTCCAGCTATATGACGACGGTCTGGATCAGACAATCCAGTGATTGACATCATGAGCATTGAACCCCGCGATTGGGCCACGATGACCTGCATTAACTAAGTCAGCGAGCCTGACCACCTGATCCCGTTACAGCGGCAAGCATTGGTTGCTGAAGACCCATTCTCTACCCGGATCTTCACAGGTCCTACACAGGAGTGAGTGAGGCGGGTATAACGCCGCATTAACTAGTATTCCAGTCATATGACAGGAGGAGGAACACCCAAGCGATGCGGGCAGTTGACGTGTACCACTTGAGGAAACTCACATACATGTCTGTGTAGACCAGCGGATCCTTGCTCGGTTAAGGGACTCAAATCTTCATAGCAAAGTTTGGGGCTTTTTACCACTTGCAAAGCATAGTTTCAAGCCGTGAAAACATTATGTTCAACATAAAACTAGTCCTTGTACCGTAATTTCTGTAAATCGAATCCACATATGTCTGTTTGTGGGGTTTCATCCCGGGTATGGTGGTGACAAACCTAGAAACATAATCGAGGTGAACCCGGATTCGAACCCTCAATCATAGCTTTCTGGCGTGCCCAAGGGACGCAACTCTGCACAAAGAATCGCGGCGCCTTAGACGACTTGGCCGTAATTTCTGTAAACCGAATCCACATATATCTGTTTGTTGGGTTTTATCCCGTAGGTTCCCGGGAAAGATTTGTTTGCTGACTTGGCAGATTGCATTCTTTGAGGCCATGAGGGCATATCACACTTGAAATATTACTAATTAATATTAGTATTAATATTACGGTGGTCAACAACGCTATATTATACAATATTGATATGAATAATAATAACCCTGTTGATTTCGAAAATAATATTCAATTTAGGGTATTTACAATGCTTATATGTCTGTTCAAAATATTTTAATTACATTTTTCTACATTATTCATAAAAGTAATAATACTGTGACATATCGTGTATGAGGCCTCGTCTATTTTAGTTCAGTATTTCCCTACATTCTTCCCCCCACCATCAATCATTCAACAACGCGCGTACATCACAATGAAATATGCAAGACAACTGACTTGTTTGAACAATGGCGAGGTAACAATTTCCGGTGCTGCGCAAGAGACATGGTTTGATTGTCGGGTGTGGCAGACGCCGGAAAACAGATGTCATAATATATCTTAGAGGAAGTAAATTATACATCACATCTGACAGAGGCTTTCAGCAGTAGAGTTATACAGCTATTGGCAAAAACTGAAAATTCAAGTAGATGTGTGAGGGTTCAAATGTATAATATAAAGGTTTCAAATCAACGATAATATACCACACAATTTAAAATACACTATGCTCATTCATTTCTATTCTACACGGTGTTCAAGATCATCTGTGATTTGTTGTGTGTAGATTTTCGTTATGGTGCAGATTGGTTTGTTTGTTAGGTGATGAACATCGCAGTCATCAATATTCCAGCTAAAGACTACAATTGATTAAACCTACTGTACAACCTTGGAACCGTATGTACAACCCTTCGAAAGGAATAAAACATGTCCCCCAAAAAATATTCCAGCTTAAGTAGTGCGGCTATAAATGATGGATTCTGGACCAGACAAACCAGTGATTTGTACTGTGAGCAAATATCCACGCCTTTGGGGTACGATAATAAGATTGATGTAAGGCTTCAGGAATTTCACGGCAGGGGCACCAGAAATGGGCTTAACTCATTAAATTAATGTGTGGGTTTTCGATGAGATGCCTTCAGTTGGTTTTCCTAGTTACATGTTCATGTAGAATTGTCATGGTCGATTACAAGAGGATTGGGTGAAACCAATGCTTGTGGCAAGAAAGTCGATTAACATGATGACTGACTGTGTGCCATCGTCTCCCTGAAGTGTGAATCGCTGCTCATGCTATCAACCACATGGTGACATAGCCCAGAATCGATGACTTACAGGCCGCAGCTATACGGCTGGAATATTGCTGACAATCCGCTCATTGGGTTGATAATAATTAATAATAGTTGTTTTCATCCGTTGATATTTGGATAAACCAAATATGACCACCATCACATTCTATCTCTTGTAATATCATACAAATATACTGTCATATATACATATCGATATTTAAGTCTACAAATACATTTTCATTGTTAGTTTTGAGAACAATGCATAACAAATGTAGTAGACTCTACACCGACAGGCTGTACGTGGCTGTAACACACACTGCTGTCTCATGTGATAATGTCATTGTCACGCCTGGGTACGCGCGACTTAAGTGCACTACCTCCGAAATCCATAAACATGTTGTCCATAAACGACTTCTCCTACTGCTTGAAGATTATAACTGACTGGCTCAGTAGGGTTTAACGCCTATTGGAACAGTGTTCCAGTTATATCACGGCGTGAGGGTGGGGTCAGGTAGCCAAGTGGTATTAGCGTTCGCTCGTCCTGCCGTAGAGTGAGTTGGGTTTAATGCCGATTTTAATAGTATTCCAGTTATATCGCGTTGTGTCAGCTTAATGTGGGATGAAAGACCGAAGTGATGCAGGTCTCAGACGTTTACCACTTCGGTGAAACCCACGAGAACGGGTATGGTGCTAACAAACCTAGAAACATCGGGGCGAACCCGGATTCGAACCCACAATTATAGGCGTGCCCAAGGGACGCAACTCTGCACAGCGATTCGCGGCGCCGACATGGGTACAATGTGTGAAGCCCATTGCTGGTGTCCCCCGCGGTGATATTGCTGAAAGCAGCGTTAAACCATACTCACTATCAAGGCGTGGGAGAAACGCCCGAATTGATGCAAGTCTTTCACTTCGGCGATTTGGGGCGTCTCAGACGACTGGTGTCATCCGTGCTTCTCTTGGTATATGTTCTATGCCCAAAATCAGTCTGAGGTCCAGCACCTCGGACATCAGAGTAAACTATGACGCCAGTACCTCGGACGTCAGAACAAACTATGACATCAGTACCTCGGACATCAGGGCAAGCTATGACACAAGGTCCTCGGACGCCAGAGCAAACTACGACACAAGGTTCTCGGACATCAGAGCAAACAATGACATCAGTACCTCGGACATCAGAGCAAACAATGACATCAGTACCTCTGACATCAGAGCAAACAATGACACAAGGTCCTCGGACATCAGAGCAAACAATGACACCAGTACCTCGGACGTCAGAGCAAACAATGACACAAGGTCCTCGGGCGTCAGAGCAAACAATGACACCAGTACCTCTGACATCAGAGCAAACAATGACACCAGTACCTCGGACGTCAGAGCAAACAATGACACAAGGTCCTCGGGCGTCAGAGCAAACAATGACATCAGTACCTCTGACATCAGAGCAAACAATGACACAAGGTCCTCGGACATCAGAGCAAACAATGACACCAGTACCTCGGACGTCAGAGCAAACAATGACACAAGGTCCTCGGGCGTCAGAGCAAACAATGACACCAGTACCTCTGACGTCAGAGCAAACAATGACACAAGGTCATCGGGCGTCAGAGCAAACCATGACACCAGTACCTCGGACGTCAGAGCAAACTATGACAGAAGGTCCTCGGACGTCAGAGCAAACCATGACACCAGTACCTCGGACGTCAGAGCAAACAATGACACAAGGTCATCGGGCGTCAGAGCAAACCATGACACAAGGTCCTCGGACGTCAGAGCAAACCATGACACCAGTACCTCGGAAATCAGGGCAAACCATGACACCAGTACCTCGGACATCAGGGCAAACAATGACACCAGTACCTCGGACATCAGGGCAAACAATGACACAAGGTCCTCGGACATCAGGGCAAACAATGACACCAGTACCTCGGATGTCAGAGCTAACTATGACACCAGTACCTCTGAAATCAGGGCAAACCATGACACCGGTACCTCGGACATCAGGGCAAACAATGACACCAGTACCTCGGACATCAGGGCAAACAATGACACAAGGTCCTCGGACGTCAAAGCAAACAATGACACAAGGTCCTCGGATGTCAGAGCTAACTATGACACCAGTACCTCGGATGACAGAGCTAACTATGACACCAGTACCTCGGATGTCAGAGCTAACTATGACACCAGTACCTCGGACGTCAGAGCTAACTATGACACCAGTACCTTGGACGTCTGAAGATCATATGACGCCATCACCTCAGACGCCAGAAGCACCAACAACCGAGACGAGTACCTCAGACGTCAGACTAAACTGTGACACCATCACCCCTGACGTCAGAGGAAACTATGAAGCGTCAGAATGAACAGTGCTGCGCGAGGACTATCAGGTCACACTACGTCAGTTCAGTGATGCACGTGGCCAACAGGTGTTGTTGTTATCGCCTGCCGTGTCTAGGTACCGTCTCAGGGGAACGGATCCGCCGACAGGATACACAATAAAAGACTTAGACGGGATACACAGTAGACAGTGTGAACACTAAAAAAAACTTAGAAAAATAAGCCTTTTATTGTTCACACTGTCGGCTGCGTATCCTGTCGGTGGATCCGTTCCCTGTGAGACGGTATCTAGTTTGCACGAAGAGGTGACAGACACAGCAGGTGACTGCAGCATTTTAATTTATGAATTGACGTATGGATATTTTGACTAATTTTTTATATGTTTTATGTAAAGGAGTGAGCAAGTGAGTATGGTTTTGCGCCGCTTTTAGCAATATTCCAGCAATATCACGGCGGGGGACACCAGAAATGGGCTTCACACATTGTACTCATGTCGGGAATCGAACCCGGGTCTTCGGCGTGACGAGCGAATGCTTTAACCACTAGGCTACCCGACCGCCCCTTTATGTAAAGGAAGTATGTAAATGGTATAGCAAGACAGAAGCCTAATGTTGTGTACTTTGTAATTTCGGTTTCAGAACAAAAACCGTAAAGAAGGATATCCCTCTATTGTTTTCAAAATGAATCAGCAGGAAAACTCATGTTCTCGATCCGGAAAGAATACGAAACTGTTTCGTTATCAATGAACAACGCGACAAAGTGACTACCGCTGTGTAGAACGTTTGCGACGGGTAGGCACATGGGTAAGGGTTCACGCTGACGACACAAGGTTCTATTTCCTTCATAGGCGTGCTAACCCCATGCATTGTGTCAGCTGTAGAAATATTGATGGAATGTTGCTAAAACCAACGTAAATCGTACTGAATCACTGGGATTAACCACAATGTAAAGGTTGGTTCAGTGGGCAACAGCAATAAATGGTTTCGTGCGAAAGGATTAGGTTTGATGAACTTGGTCAGTGTGGTTCCATGACCAATCTCTTTGTCTGCACACTGATTTTTGTCATATACTCAGCGTTATTTGGGGGTCACCGAGGTACGGAGGGTGTCAAACATGAACATATGTCAACAACCTTCAATGTGTCTGAGTATGTAGACGAGTATGTCTTCTAAGGCGTCGCGATTCGCTGTGCAGAGTTGCGTCCCTTGGGCACTCCAGAAACCTATGATTATGAGTTCGAATCCCGGTTCGCCCCGATTATGTTTCTAGGTTTGTCAGCTCTATATCCATGCTCGTGGGTTTCACCGAAGTGGTAAACGTCTGAGACCTGCATCACTTCGGGCTTTCCTCCTACATTAAGTTGACACGAAATGATATAACTGGAATACTGTTAAAAGCAGCGTTAAACCCAACTCACTCACTCACTCACTGAGTATGTAGACAATGTGATTAACAGTGGAAGAACATGTTGTTTGTACCTAATTACACTCATTGGATGCTTTTATGAAAATGGTAAACGAATTTTGATACACCATAAAAGAGCAAGATTGGAGGTGATGGGGAAAAATACCACAAACCCACTCCTGAATGTAACCAGTGGTTTACCCGTCCATGTGCAATACATGACAAGTGACAGTCAATGTGGATATAAAATGGTTCATTCCAGATGCAACTGAACTGCACTCTTTGAAGTTGAAAATGCGACGTTTTTAATACATTTATATTTCTTATCTCTTTTATCTGCGTGACGTTTCAACAATAACGCTGAGTATATGTTTCATATCTATCCAGCAGTTACCCTATTTTATAAAAAAGCAATATCCCAGTTTCACGCAAGGCATTAAGTCAACGTCTGGGTGTGTAAAGCAGAGGGAAGAGGCGTGTCTAAACACAGTAAAACGTCTTGTATGACGTCGGTATGATCATGTGTAATCTCGTATGATCTCGCGTGGTCTAATGTCATCAGTCAACACGTGCACCAGGGACCACAATGATGTCCGATGCAGTTTGACTTGTACCATGTGTTACCATGGGTTATTTAGGTGAACAATTGACTTGCCTTTGCATGTGTTTGTGACGGGTGCCACCGGTGGGCAGGATACGCTCACTATTGCGTGAACTCCTGGTATTATCACCATGTAAACGTGATTCATAAACACATACTTATGTTATAGTTGGAATCATACAATGGATTCCGCTTTCAACAGACACTTCTTATGATTATGGAAAGGAGTTTGTCAGTTTAACACAACGTTTAGGATAACTGCAAAATTTTCAGTAACAAAATTATACTTTAAGGTGTTTAAACGAGGTAAGTAACGCCTGACTATATCAATATGTGGTCTTTTCAGCAAGTGCTTAATGGGTAGCATGTTTTCGAACACCTGGTATCATCACTATGTGATAGTGATTCATAACCACATGCTCATGTTACAGTCGGAGTCGTACAATGGCCTATGCTTTTAGCAGAGATTTCTTATGATCATGTAAATGTTTTTGTCGCTGTTTCATTTGTCAATTTGACAACAGCAACCAGTTAAAGATAACCCTATCAAACACGGAACAGTGTGCACCTGCATTCTCCACTCCCTGTGTCGGGGGCGTAGGGTTTCAGGGTGAGGGTAGGGCCGCTACATGCGGTTTCATGTCCGTCTCACATGCATAACGAAACAATCAATTCTTACGACACCGTATGTGTTTACATATGACAGAGGAAGAGCCAGTCATACATATGGCGTCAGATGTCCCGGGGCGGAAAATGGCTCAAAACAAATAATAGTGAGAGGAAGAGTAGGGTGATTGCGGGGTTAATGGGTAAGAGTGGGTGTATTCGTGTGCGATGTTTGGGGGGGGGGGGGGGGGGGGGGGGGGTTCAAACAGGATGTCAAGTACACCTAAACCGCTTTGAACGATACTGGTTTACTTGCGATGACAGTCATTATGTCGTGAAGGTTGTTCTCCACAGCGTCAGTTGAGTGTTGTCTGTTTCCTTGGGACCGCCTCCGTGGTTCGTGGGTATAGATGGAGCGTCTGCCCGGAGAGCGGTAGGTCGGTTGTTCGACCCCCTGGTCGCGTCATACCAAAAGGCGGTAAGAGATGGCAGTTATTGTTACGGTCCCTGATAAAACAAGGACTGGTCGGCTCGGCGTCAGTATAATGTGTCTGAGTGGGGTATGTATAATAAATTGCGGCATGGTATATCAGGGGGTTAGCACTATAAACCGGAATTAGTAGTCACACACATACGCACACGCACACGCACACGCACGCATGCACGCACGCACGCACACACACACCCTACTTTTGTGCGGGTGATTACCATTTTAGTATTTAAGATCGCGCCGCTTTTAACCACATTCCCACCGTTTCAAACAGTTTCACTTATTTCAGCATATGTCTAACACAAATTGTCTTTGTTGGGAACAGAACCAGCATCATTAGCGTGCAAGACAACGCTTTAACCACTCAACCACCAACTTCTTTTTAATGACTGGTAAGAAATACAAGGGAATAATTATTTGCTCTGGACGAAAATGAAGAACCTTCAACAATATTTCCATCCCAAACAAGTCAAATTAGAGCATGTGTTCCCGTGGTGGGTTTTCCACCATCATGTCCGACCAACACGGCCACCAAGCCCCTAGGCCTATTTATTTATCCCGTTCACTTCCTCAACCTTGACAAGCATATACACATTAATACATCATACTTCACCCATTCCTCTGTGACAGCTACACAGGCGCCTGTACTGTCACCGTCACAGACATGCCCGGAGGCGCCACCTCGGGGATCGGGTAAAACCAACCCGGAAGTGCTTACCATCTATGGCAAGTGAGCGGCGATATCAAAGAGCTTGATTGAGCTGTCGCCAGTTGCGGTGTTAATACTGAAATTGTATTCTCTCATGATAATACATCATACATAATAGATTAGTTTAATGTGGAGAGTAAGACGCGAGGTTAGCTGATGAGTACTCCTCATCGAATTGAGACCTGTCGAAAAAAACGCCAAATACGGACATAGCGGCACCTAGTGGTACGACGTTGTTGTCATAGTAACGCTGTGGCGACTGAAGTTTCCTTTGGTAATGTTCTACATCATCACTTTATCTTTTTTTGTCAGTGTCGACCACATTGCTCGAACTGTTACCATTCCGTCAGCTTTTTGAAAATCAATATATTTTTTCATTCGCATCCAAGTGTATGTATATAGGAGGTATTATTAAAAATATCTATTAAAACCAGTTGACTTTTTCTCACCAAGCATAAGATACATGTTATTTGTGGATAAAAGAACTATTACATTACAAAATTATCCATTAGGCCAAAACGTGCCTCTTTTTCTTGTGGAAGCGTTGGATTAGCCTAGGGGTTTAAGCGTTCGCTCGTCACGCTGAAGACCCGGGTCCGATTCCCCACATGGGTATTATGCATGAAGCCCATTTCTGGTGTCCCCCGCAGTGATATTGCTAAACGATAAAAGCCACCGACAGCAAAACTCTTTTTTGTGTCAACGACGGCATTTTGCAGCCTATTAGTACACAAGGGGAGGTCACTCACACCAGAGAAGGAAACGTTGCACGAGCCGCCATTATTGCTTAAATTGTATCCTTTATGTATTTGCCTATCTTAAGTGACCTTGGCCTTGTTCCACAAAACGATCTTAGTGCTTCGACAGCCTCCTGTAAGATAGCTTTGTTGTAAAGAGCTCATGGTCCGTAACACAAAGCGTCCGTAACGCTACGAGCATCATAACTCGTAGTTACGACATAGAGCTACGAACGCTTTGTGGATGGTGTCCAGCTGTGTAGATGTGAAGCGGATGTCGGCTATTGAGAAGTTAAATGACGTCCGACGACGACGACGACTACCAAGCTCCATACACCAATCAACTAAACTG